CTTCTACTTTTTGGCTACTCTGAGTAATGCTGCTATGAACATGGGTGTACAAATATCTATTTGAGTTCCTGCTTTGAATTCTTTTGGGTATATATTCAGAAGTAGAATTGCTGGATCATATGGTAATTCTATGTTTAATGTTATTTTTAAGAACTGCTATACGGTTTTCCACAGCGGCTGCATCATTTTACATTCCCAACCAGCAGTGCACAAGGGTTCTAATTTCTGTACTTCCTCATGAACACTTGTTATTTTGTTTATGCTTTTATGATAGCCATCCTAAAGGGTGTCAAGTGATATCTAATTGTGGTTTTGATTTGCATTTCCCAAACGATTAATGAATGATATCAAGCATCTTTTCATGTTCTTGTTGGCCATTTGTGTATCTTCTTTGGAGAAAAGTCTATTCAAGTCTTTGTCCATTTTAAAATTGGATTGTTTGAATTTTTTGTTGTTGTGACACAGCCATTCTTTACATATACTGGATATCAATCTATTATCAGATATATGATTTTCAAATATTTTCTCCCATTCCTGTGGGTTTCATTTTCACTCTGTTGATAAGAGGTCTTTGAAACACTCAAGTGTTTATTTTTGTTGTAGTCCAATTTGCCTATTTTTAATTTTGTTGTTTGTGTTTTTGGTGTCTTTGCTTAACATTTTAATCCCAGTGCCTATTTCATAAGAGGCACTTGATAAATGTTTATTGAATTAAAGACATAGAAAGATTGATAGAGCCATAGATATGGATATAATCGTCTCATTATATGCAGTAGTTATGAGCTATAAAGTCCTCGTGAATATCAAGTTACTAAACACTCAGCATTCTCTTACAGGAAACGCAGGGTTAGGTTCTTGCAAGCCTCTGTTTATACCATTTTCATCAATTAATCAATACATAACCTTGATTTATGTGTGTTTCTGTTTAAAGACAACTTGTTTAATATATATTGTTGATTCATTAACATTGGACTTATTATGGCCACAAGCATTATAACGCATGTCTGAATGATGTTTATCTAACACACATATTTTCTCCATAAGGCACATCACAGCCTTCTTGCACTTAGGAGCACTAGACTGTACTTCAGCTCTATGCATGGGGGCCATTTTCAGCAGCAACATCACCAAGAAAAAGCACTCACACAAAACAAAGGCACTAAATACACTGTGGAAAGAACACTTGTTTATACTCTGAGAGCTGACACAGAAGACAGAGCATCACCTTGCTTGACCTCAGCTGGGAACATGTGTGTAACATGACTTGAATTTTTCACTACTTTTTACATGTCCCCAAATGATCACAAAAGCACTGCAGTTATTGATTTTGGGCTTACAAATAAACTTTAGCAAGTGGGCAAATTTACAAATATAGAATCCATGAATAATGAAGCTCCACTACATTTATGTAGATATATCAGCAAACACATAGTCACAGACATATAGGTAAAGATATCAACATGTTCATACATGCAAACATAGATATATGGATATAGCCATAGCCATTCCACAGACACAGACACATACAGATACAGACTTCAATACATATACACATATATCTACTTATCAGATTGACAAAGATTGATAGTATATAATATTGGAGCAAATGATTAACAACCTCTTTCATACAATCTTGATTTGAATACAAATTACTACCAACATTAGAAAGGGAGTGTGGAAATAACTATCAAAAATTTAAAAGTGCATATACTTCACTGAAAAATCCACTTGTAGAAAATCTATCCTATGAAATAATTGTAGAAGTGATCAATTTTACAAGTACAAGTATCTTCAATCTGGCATTGTTTGTAATCATGACAAATTAAAAATAATCAAAACAGCCCTTGAGGAGAACTGGTTAAATACATTATAGTCTATCAATACAATGGAATATTAGGCAGTTGTTAAAAATAACGATCTGCATGTGGCAACACAGAATGATGCTCGTAATATGTGTGAGATAGAAAAAGGAAATTGCATTATAGTGTGTAAATTGTGAAGTAACCTTGTCGAATCCAAATTTATATGGTTGTATATATTTCATTTACATTTCAGTGTAAACATTTTATTTTATTTATGCATACAAGATAGCTGAAATGATGTTAACATTGATTGTCTCTGAGTCATGGGCTGGCTTTTTGCTCTCAGATCCCTCTCCCACATCTCTCTGTCCTTTACTGCATCACAAGGAACTACATATCTTTGTGTCCCTTTCTCTCTGGCTCCCAAATAAGTTGAAGTATTTGGAGGCAATGTTTTAAGATTAGACGGTGGGAGGAGGGGAGAAGCCAGGGTCTTTCCTCCGCTTACTGTCTGCTTTGGGCCATATCTCCAGCAGCAACAGTAGCTCCTCTGCTCCACCTCTGAAGTCTAGTGAGGCTTTTCCTTTGTGGCTCCATTTCCCACCAGGCTGACCTATTATAGGTCCAGCTTCCACTATCAGTATCTCATCTTTAATGACAATGGCCCCTCTCTTTATCCTATCAGCCTCAGTGTGGCAGCAGTTTCTGCTTCTTCTAATGTCTAGATTGCCTTATGCTCCCTCTTTGGGCCCTCAGTTCATCAATGACCCTCCTAAGTAAGCCCTTGTATGAAATTTCCTCTGCGTAAAATACTTATAACAATTTCTCTTTTCTGACTGGAACCTGATTGACACGGTAATTGGACGGGGAGGAGGGAAAATACTTTCAATGTTGTTTGTTTGACAAAATAACACAATACCAGGGGGAAAGGGACCATTCTAAAAATTTTCTTCCAAAAAATGAAAATCTGAGGAAACTTCACATTTTACAGTGATCACAGAGTAATAAAAGAAATTGTCTTTCAATCATAAACATTATACAGTAAATGACTACAGTAATCCATGATCCTTCACCATCCTAAATAATAAACTTTCCTTAACATTCATTATTGTTTCAATTCAAACTAGAAACAAATCAAACCTTACAGTCTTTGGCCCTGTTTGATCCGTGGCACCAAGTTTTCATACGGCATGTTGTTCTGTCTCCCAATTTGGTTGATATGCTGACCTTACAGGAAAGACCTACCTAGCTATCCCTGGAGGGTCACCTCAGATTGGCCAAGACTAAATTGATGGATAATGTCCAATGTAGGTAAAGGTATGAGAATATCTGGACTTAAATACTTTAATTTGGCATCTTGCAAGATTTTCCTTAGTTATCACTACACTATAGATTTTTAGAGAGCAAGGATTATTTCTTGCTTTTCTGTAAACTCAGTTTATAGCACACTATCTTGGACTTAACTAGGTGTTCAAAAAGATACTGTCTTGGTGTGCCCTGAAGTTCACTAAGATACCATTCCACTCTTGACCAGGAAAGGGATCACATTTCTCCTCTGCTACCTCTAGGGCTTAAATAAACACCATCAAAATTAAAATGGACTAGAGTGGGGATACTCCATCCTCAGTCTCAGACACTCTTCATCACATCCTGAAATATTGAAATATCACTAGATTTCCAGGCTCAGCTTATATTCTACCTGTGTTCATGAAATATTGCTGATTATCTTGCCCAAAACTGATCTTTCTTCAGTCTAAATTATTTTTATAGAACTTATCATTATCTACTTTGGATAATTTATATACTTCTTCTCTTCCTTACTGAATTATAGGATTATTCCCAACACTTAATAAAGACAGGAATCAGGTCTAATATATTACGAGACCTCCGAAGTACAAGCACACTATTTGCTAATATAATTTATTTGTTAGATGGAAAAATGAATGAATGAATGAACAAAAGAGGCATAGATTAGTCCAGACAAAAAGAGTCCAAAGCCTGAAAGATAAGATCTGTTATGTTTAATTTAAACCTATGCAACATTTTTTTTTACCATTAGTAATAATTTATTTTAATATTAGCCTAAGTAAATCACAATCAGGAAAATAAATCTACAGAAACATTATATAATGCATCCCAAGTAAAATGTTTAGAATATTCAACATTTTGGGATAATATAATCGAAAATAAATCTTTATAGTGAATGCTCTATTTTTATGGATGAATTATATCTAAACTTTCTACCAGAAAACTATCAATACTTATGGATAATCTAGTTTATTTTATAGGTCTGGAGACCACTTACCATAATCAGAATTTCATAAAGTATCTATTTTGAGTTATGTGAATTTTAAAACCATATATTTAGGCCATTATACACATCAGATCAATTATTCATTTGTAAAACTAATTTTATAAGGGCATAAATTCCTCTATGATGCTACAGTAAATATTTCAATACCACTGTGAGAGGGGGGTCCTTAAAAAATAACAGCAAGTCCTATTGGCACAAGTGCTTTTTGATTTACTCTTCCCAAATCAGTAAAGCTTTGACATTGGGCAAGATTATTTTTCTATTTATATTTTATAGGAAAACAGTGAACACAACCACTCCACTCTACCACTATTATCTTCAGGATAATAGTAGTTTCTCAAAGTACAATAGATCAACTGACTTGATAGTTAATCTTTTTAAGGTAATTACTGAGCTTTTTATTTCACAGAACACAATCCATCATTTTTGTTGGTCTTTTTTTTTCAGTTTGGTTCCTTGGATTATGAAGCTAAAGATTCTGACTCAAATCGTTTTTTACAAGTTTGTTACTGTTTCATTTTTTACTCTAATATCAAATTAACTACATTTGAGGTTTTTGTCAAAGTTTTCATATTTAATTCATTTTTTTTTCATGATTCCAAATCCATCTGGGTTCTAGGATAAAACGTGTGAATGCTCCCTACATATTTCTTTTACTAAAATATGAAGATTAGGGAAAAATCTAATAAATTTGTGAAACTGCATTTAGAATTTGGACCCAAATGCTAACATTCACACCATAAAATTTTCTATACATTCTACAGATGTAGGAGGCTTATTAATTCATATTATTCTACAAACATATACTCTATAGTTAATTTGATTTAACCACATTCCATAAGTTGAATTTGAGGGGTGTTTTTAAAGTGTGGAGAGTTTAGTGTTTATTTTTGTAATCCAACAACTTTATCCAAAAATGCAGAAAATTTTTCTGGCTGGCCAAGAGGAAAACATTTCAGTGTTGAAAAGTCCATTGACTGTAACAGCCCAGGAAGCGTGCCGCAGGTACAGTAGAAGAGATGCCCATCTTTGTGAAGCTGCTTTGCCAATTCCAGCTGATGATTGTTCATCAACTTCTCATTTATAACCACTGTGAGCGGCTTTCTTTTTTCCAGACTCTCCAAACAGCTTCCTGCACCTGCGTGACTAATAACAAGATCTGCTTTCTGAAGGTCTTCTTTCAATGAATCCTTGTATCTGTAAACATCCAGAGTAAGTGACTCCGTACTGAGTGGTTCAGGTACCACCTTTCTTCTACCTATTTGTAGGACAAGTCGGTTGTAACGGAGGCTCTAGATTATCACGTCGTGAAAGAAATGGCCCCGCAAGAACTAGGAGACCACGCAAAGACTCTGAAAAAGGTGTCGCAAACTAGGGAGGGAGAGCAAGGAACAGGGTCGTCGTGGCCCACAGCTGGGGTTGCGCGAACCACGAGCCCTGAGAAGGCGCGCTCGCGGGACACCGTGCCGCGCAGGGACGCCGGCCGCGAGGGTGCCTGAGGCGGAGGTAAGGCACGGCGGCCTCGGCCTGAGCGCCGGGGCAGGGTGCCCAGCAGGACCGGCCGGGTCGTGCTGGGCAGAGCCCGACGGAGCGCGACGACTGCGCGGCCCCAAGCGGGCCCGGGCCCGAGAGTATGCAACATTTTTCAATCAGTAACATATTTAATCATTTTGGTAGCATGTTTTTTTCATAATTGCATGAACTTTCACGTTTTTAGAATGCTGTTAACTTTTTGAAAATATTTTTAGTATCATTATGAAAATGTCACAAAGTGAAAATTGTTATTGCCTCCCACACCTATAATTTCTAAACATGGTTAAAATTACAATAACAGGATTTTCACTGATTTCGGATTATAGTCTCTAACAATTAAAACATAATTTCTATAATAAATGCATTTTATATCTGGAGTTGAATATTTTACAAGCATTCCTCTGTGATTTTACAGCAATGATGAAAATTTTAATATTTTTTTTGTCATTTAGAAACCCTCTGTCTGATTAACCATAAATCAACATGGGTCATTAGCCTGGAAGTAAGGAGTACATCACGGATATCACTTACCTAATTCTAACCTGGTATTTCATAAGATTTCTCATGTTATTGTTAGAGGCAAGATGAAGGAACGTGGGCTGGATGAAAATACAGTTAAGCTGAATTTATAGTTGTTGAACAACCAGATCCAAGAGGTATCAATTCCTGGATTAGTCACCATGGAGAGAGATCTCTGGTGGTCTGTCCAGTGAACTCTGTTTTATCAGTGGGCTTGATGAATATATTGACAGAATTCATATTGGTTTACAGATTACGCAAAGTCCAATATATGTAAAGACCAAAATAGTTTTTCAAATATTTTGATATGCTTGAAAAATAATTACAAACCAAAATGACAAAATTTTAACTGTACATAGGGGGAAAATACATCTTAACATTCAGGTTAAGGAGTTGCCATTGCTTTAACTGCAATGTAAGGTCATGTGGAAGGGCCTCAGGCAGAAGTATATCCAAATACCTCTTTCTCCACATGCTACTGCCTTTGTGAACTTGTGAACTTAGGCAAGTGCTTAACTCTCTAAACTATCTATACAATAGGGAAAACAATGCCTGGTTGGCAAGGTTTTTAGAATAGAATTAGTAGTGTGCATGGTATGTAGTAAGCATTCACTGATGGTACTATAATTATTACTGTAATGCCAAAAATAAATCTAAACAAAACCAAAGGTAGTTAGACCCCAATTCAATGGAGGTGATGTATGCTGGCCTGAACACATCTGGAAACTTTTGCCCCATGCTAGATACTACACTTCAGAAGGAATCCTGGAGAAGATCCAGAGAAAATCTAGACAAATCCATTTACATAAACAACTTTTGAGGAAACTGGGTATTTCTGTCTTGAGAGGAAAGCCTAAAGAGATATGATAGCTGTTGTCTCCAAATATTTTGAAGTACTATGTTGTGGAGGAAGAGTAGTATTTCTAGTCAGTGTTATTCCAAGAGGCAGAAGAAAGACCAGTACTTGGAAGTTTTAAGAAAATTAATTTTGTTATGATCTGAGGACCCTCTCAACCATGACATCTGTTCACCAATGAAGCAGGGTGCTTCAACACACACCACGCTCCCCTTCTTTTAAATATCAGGGAACTTATAAATAAAATTCATTGTACAGCTGGGAGGGCATTTTTAGATGTGTTATATTACTTAAAACCTCTCAATAACCCTGTAAGTCATGTATTATCATTCTTTTCCCCATTTTTCAGATGATAGACTATGTTTGACTTGCCCCAAATCACACTGATAATAAGCATCAGGTTCATATTCTCAGAATCCAAAATCTGTGCTTATTTCAGAATATAAATGTAACTGAGGGATTCATAAGCTGGATGTGAATCTGTTAAAGAAGACATCTACAGCCTTAAGAATCATGAATTAATAATCAATATATTTAAGTTTTCAGGCCACATCCAGTCTGATTCCACTCTTGTCTACAAGCAGTTCTCCCTTTATGTATACTATGTGTAGGGCATGGAACATTCATTATTTCCTTTGATTTGTACAGCAACCCTCTGAGGCAATAGGGCAGGTATTATTCATGTTTTATGTACACAGAAACCAAAATTGTGAGAAGCTAAATGATTTAACCAAGGTCACAGAGCTCAATAATGACAAAGAGGGAGAAACCAGAACTTCTGACTCTGTACATACTGCGCTTTCCACTACAATAGTCACCATAAAATTACTTAAAGATTCAAGACTTCTATAATGGACTAGGATGTGTGGGTACATATAATTGTTGCAAAAAACTGAGTAACAAATGCCCTCACCTAAAATTATTTTTGTCAGTAAATTCTTTATATACAATATACTTGACAAAATTCCAAATTTATAGAACTGCAAGGTAGTTTTTCAATTAAGTAGAAAGCTATATAAATGTCTCTTTAAATTTTATTAGATGACACAATTTATCTTATTAACATATTCAGTATTCCACAACTCTTAGTCAGGAAGTGCTTCCTAATTTATGACCCCAATTCCTCCTGCTCCAGTTTCCATCACATTCCCTCATGGCCTGTCCTCTGTGGAAAAAGAAACAAACAAAAAAGCTTCTTGCACATTTCCTTTCATCTCTATAATCATCACTAAATTATTGAAATAAGGCTTCACTATGTCAAATCTTGCTTTCATATTCTGACATTGTCACCTATTGTGCTTAGATCTCTCTTTACAAAAATAGTACCTTTATTTACTCCATTCTTGTATTACCTAAAAGACAAGGTCGTTTGGACCAAATTTTTAATTACTTATATACTTGTTTTTCTCAAGAATATCACAAAATAGTAATCATGTTGAAATAACTTCAGCTTCCCTGTATGATTGTGAATATTTGAGTAAGGGGTAGAAATTTTTAGAGTTTAGGTAAGAACCTTTGTTACAACTGAAAGCTACAGAGTTGCCCTTTACTTCCTAGAGTCTCAACTCAAGATGCCCCAAAAAAACAGTTAAGAACTATATTCCATTATTATGATTGTGTAACAAAGCACCCCAGAGCAGGGTGGGGTAAAACAACCATATATTATGCTTAAAATTTTATGGGTCAGGAATTTGGATAGAGAACAAGAGGGAGAGCTTGTCTTTGCTCTACAATGTGGAGCTGCAAGACCCAAAATTTGGGGGCTGGTATCATCTGAAGGCTCATTACTCAAAGATCTGGAGTTGATGCTGTTGGTTGGGAGCCTCAGTTATTCTCCATTTGGGCTCTCCAAGTGGTCTCTCCATCCACATGGCTAGTTTGTGCTTTCTTACATCATGGAGGCTGAGAACCAAAGATAAACTTCCCAAGAGTGAGAGAGAGCCAGTATAAGCTGTAATATTTTCTGACCCAGCCTTGGAAGTCCCACAGTATTACTTTTACCATATTCTATTGGTTGGAGCAGTTACCAGCCCCAGATTTGTGGAGAAGGAATATTTATGTTTCCACCTCTTCAGATGGAATGTTGGTCACATTGTTAGCAGAACATATGGAAAGTATGTATATAGACATGCAGCCATATATGGAAAGTATCATCTGCCACTGTGAACCCTCTGGCCATAACATTCTACATCCCACCCACATGCAATATACGTTCCTATCTTGCCAAAAGATGTCCCATGACAGTATCTGAACAAAGCTCAAGGTCCAGAATCTCATTATCTAGATCAGGTTCAGGTATAGATGAGACTCTTCAGGTATGGTTCCTTAAGTACAGGTATGGTTCCTTAAGTACAGATCCTCTAGTACTGTTTCTCTCAGTTTGAGGACCTATAAACCAAAACCAATTTATCTGCCCCCCATACACCCAATATGCAATGGGTGGACAAGTTGAGGATAGTCACTATGGACCCTTCAGTTCAAAAATAGGAGAGGGCTTCCCTGGTGGCGCAGTGCTTGAGAGTCCGCCTGCCGATGCAGGAGACGCGGGTTCGTGCCCCGTTTCGGGAGGATCCCACATGCCGCGGAGCGGCTGGGCCCGTGAGCCATGGCCGCTGAGCCTGCGCGTCCGGAGCCTGTGCTCCGCAAATGGGAGAGGCCGCGACAGTGAGAGGCCCGCATAACGCAAGAAAAAAAAAAAAAAAAAATAGGAGAAGTTGGAGGCACACTTGAGTCACAGGTCCATAGCAATTCTGAAATCCAGCCAAGCACATGTTGCTAGTTCCTCAGGTCTCAGTCCTACTGCCTGGGATATGGTTCTTGGCTCTGCCTTCTAAGTTCTTGGTTCCATCCCCTGAGTCATTCTTCCTTTTCTATGTAAAAAAGTACCCTGTGTCTGCAGCTTGGTAGTTTTTGCAGCTTGTTTCCTACCTGCAGATATTTGGAGATCCAATAGTCTTCTTTTCATTGAGTACTTTCTCTGTCCCTTTCAGTCCAAAGTGATATAATTAAAAAAAAACTGTACATTTCCTGTGAATCAATTTATGATCTTCCCAACAAAACCATACTCATAAATCTCTTCAAGATAAGACCTCTCTACATTGGAGAGGAACAATGCCCTAAAGATTGTTAGACTCTTAGTCCTACTGTTTGACAGAGAGATAGAATGGTCCTCCAAGACACCACCTTAGATTTTTCTGAGCTCTTAACAAAGTGTCTTATAGTCTCCTCTTGCATATACTCTGCTCTGAAACCTTTTCTTAATTTGAGAATATTGGAGTGAGAAACTTTATTTCAAACTTAATAATTACTGCTCTTTAATATTTATATTTAATAGTACTTCCTTTGTAGTTTATCTCTTATATTTTACTATAAGCATCAAAAGGAAGCTAAGTGGCAACTTCAACATTCTGTCTGGAAATCTCTTTAGCTATATCATCCAACTCATTAGCTGCATTTTTTACTTTCCATGTTACCATAGGTGATGGCGCAAAGTTTTCTACCACTATATGACAAGGAATAACAAGGACCATTGTTAGAAGAAAGAAACCCCTTTCCTCTAATTCCTAGCAACATTTTCCTCACTGTCCCTTAAGGTCTCACTGGCAGCCTCCCTTAGGGCCTTGACAATCTCTTCAAAGCTCTTCCAACTTCTGCCTGTCTTTTTATTCCAAATCCACTGCCACATTTTAGGTTTTTGTTATATTGGCACCCCACTTCCAGGTACCAAACCCTGT